TGGCGATACTCTCGGCGGTAGTGCGGGCTCCTGGGGGGAACACGGAAGAGGTGAACGAGAAGCAACAGGAGAAGCGGATTGGGCGAAGAACGAGGGCCATGGTGGAGCTTGCAGTCAGGATGGCGGCAGGTCGATCGACAATGATGGAAACTCCTGAGGGAAAATGTGTCAAATGTGATAGGCAAGGAAAGTACGATAACAGTGATAAATATGATCAGTGCGATTGCTATATATTAGACATGTCAGATTGCCCCACATCCCTGGTTTTGCGCTCCACACCCACCTTTGCTGGGCCCACACTGACACCCGCTCCGTTCGGCTCCGCGCTTGCACGTGTTGCTGCCCTTCTGCCTGCTCCTGCCGCTGCTGCTGCCACTGCTGGTTCCGTCCCCCCTGCCCCTCATGCTTCTCCTGCCCCCCCAGCCCTTGCTGCTGCTCGTGCTGTGCGCCCTCCGTTCTGTCCTGCCCATTACCTTCTATCTTCTCTGCCTGCTGTTCCCCTCGTACCTGCTGTTCCCCTCGTACCTGCTGTTCCCCTCGTACCTGCTGCTCTCGTTCCCCCGCCTGCTGCTGCCCTTTCAGCTGCCTTTGCTGCTGCCCTCGCTGCTGCTTCTCCCAGCCACACCGTGCCTCCTGCCTGTCTTGATGCCACTTCCTCTCCCCTTCCCCTGATATCACCTCCCCTTCTCTGTCTCCTCCCCCACCCTCGCATCCCCCATCCCCACCTCCTCCCACACTCGCCCCGTTCCCCTCACTCCCCTTACCCTTCCCCACTAACTTCCCACCCTCTCCTTCCACCTTACCACTCACCCCCAACCCCCTCTCCTCCAGCCTTCTCTCTGCTTCCCTTAACCTCCTCTCCATCCACTCACACCTCCTCTCCGCATCCCTCCTCCTCTCCGCTTCCTCCCTCCCTCTCTCCACCACACCCAGCATCATCATCACCCCATTACTCTTCCTCCTCTCCTCTTCCCTCCTCTCCGCCCACTCCCTCCGTTCTTCTGCCACCCTCCCCAGAACCGCACTCAACTCCTTCTTAAGCTCCTCTTTCTCCCCCAAACTCCTCCGGAGCTCGTCCTGGGACCTCTCCCATCGCGCCTCCACCTCCTCCAATCTCCTCACTAGCCGCTCCCTCTCTGCTCTTGCAGCCAATATCGCAGCATCCTTTAAAGAGGATGAGCTTGAACAGGACGAGGAGGAGGGAAGCCCAAAGGGAGAGGAGGATGAAGGGGTTAACGGGTGTGAACTGCTTCTGCTACTTCCGAAGCTCCCTGAATCGCCAGCATTTGGTACTATCACCCTCGATAGTATCACCTGTGCCTGTGATAGTAAAGCCTGCGCATCGCTGCTCGCCTGCCTGTCCCCCCCTGCTGCTGCCACAGCCGCTGTTGCAGCCTCCAGCAAATCACACACCACCCCAGCTGCCCTTCCTGTTGCTACCATTCCTCTCTCGCTCTCTCCTCCAGTTCCTCTCTCGGCCTCATTCCCACCTGCTCCAGTGCCCTCAGCCCTTGCTGCGTCACCGCTGCTGCTGCTGCTGCTGCTCCGAGCAGCGTCTGGTGAGAGCAAGTGTAACAAGCGGCGATCCACCAGCACATGATGCGTGCGGCTGCCCAACCGACACTCCACGCGCTCATGCTGCTGCCGCTGCTGCTGCTCATGCTGCTGAGATGAATGCTGCTGCTGCGGCAGCTGCGGCTGCTGCTGAGGCTGCTGGATCTGGCAAGGCAGCTGCTGATTCTGTCTCTGCAGCACCTGCGCCTCCTCCACCTGCAATGATCTCACTTCATCAAGCTCCCTCCTCACCTCCTCTAACTCTCGCCTCACCTCGTCCCTTTCACTCCTTGCCTCGTCCCTTTCTCGCCTCACCTCGTCCCTCTCCCTCTGCAGCGGCAGCACCTCCTCCACCTGCAGTAATCGCACTTCATCCAACTCCCTCCTCGCCTCCTTCAGTTCTCGCCTCGCCTCGTCCCTCTCCCTCTGCAGCATCTGAACCTCCTTCACCTGTAGTATCGTCACCTCATCCACCTCTCGCCTCACCTCAACCACCCCTCGTCTCAGTTCATCCCTCTCGCTCTCAGCAGCAGCAGCCGCTGCAGCAACTCTCCCCCTCTCCGCCTCTGCTGCTTGCAGAGCGGCTTTCAGGTCGAGCGCCTGTTGCGCCAGCGCTGCCGCTTCCTCTGCACGCATGGTTGGGGGTTGGGGAGGGCAGCGCATTTTGAGTCGACTCAAATACTCCTCTCCGCCTCTGCTGCTTGCAACGCAGCTCTGAGGTCGAGCGCCTGTTGCGCCAGCGCTGCTGCCTCCTCTACACGTGGGGAGGGGGGGGGGGGGAGGGGGGGGAGGGGGGGATGGAAGCAAGTGGGTGGGGAGATCGAACACCGGGTGGTGGTGCCATAGGTAGGTTACATACGCTCCGATGCTGCTGCCATAGGGCGGCACGCCCATGTTTCACACCAGCGCAGCTCTGAGGCCCACTGCCTGTTGCGCCAGCAATGCTGCCTCGTCTGCACGGAGGGGTGTGAGGGGGCAATGGAAGCAAGGGATGGGGAGGGAGGGAGGACACACGGCGGCACGCCCGTGTTTCACACCAGCGCAGCTCTGAGGCCCAGTTCGTGTTGCGCCAGCACTGCTGCCTCGTCTGCACGGAGGGGTTTGGGAGGGCAGAGGAAGAGTTGGGTTCGGAAGGGCAGCAGCGACGGAGGGGCTGGGGATGGCAGTGGGGAGCGGGGGGGATGAGGGAACAGGGGAAGGGGGAAGGAGGGAAGGGAAAGCGGGGAAGGGGAGAAGGGAAAGCAAGAAATATTGTTCGACCGTACACTGACAGCACCTCCCACCCCTCACCTCCCACCTCCCACCTCCCACCCCTCACCTCCCACATCCCACCTCCCACCCCCCACCCCTCACCCCTCACCCCTCACCCCTCACCTCTCACCTCTCAGCGTCTGCTTTTCTTGCTCGCATGCTGCCACACGCTCTTCCGCCCGCCTCAGTTCCTCAACCACACGTGTCACCTCCCTATTCGCCGCCACCCTCCCCTCCCTCTCCACCTCCGCCCGCTCCCTTAGCTCCCCCACTCGCGCCTCCATCGCCGCCACCTCCGCCCCCAGCCGCGCCTGCTGCGCCGCCGTCGCCACCCTACCCTCCCTCTCCGCCCCCGCCTGCTTCCGCAGCGCCCCCACTCGCCCCTCCATCGCCGCTACCTCCGCTTCAAGCCGCGCCTGCTGCGCCTCAGCCGCCGCTGCTGCTGCTTCCGCTGCTGCTGCTCTCGCACTTGCTTTTTCCGCTTCTGCTGCCGCTTCTGCTGTTGCCGCTGCCGCCTTTCCGGACGCTTCAGCCAATGCGGCCTCTAGCTCCAGTCGCGCCTGCTGCGCTGCTGCCGCCTCCGCCTCCCGCGCTTCCTGACGAAGCCGCGCCAGATTCTGTTCAAGTGAAACGCGCTCCGTCAGCAGCTGCTGCTGCAGCGCGGCGATCTGCTGGGCGGCCTCTGCGAGAGGTGAATGAGGCGAGGCGAGATCGAGTTCCCGAGCGATTGGGGGCGGGAAGAGCGGCGCTTGGGGCGGCGGGAGACACGCTGGAGGGGGCGACGCGGGGAGGTGCGCGACTTGGAACGAGGTCAGTGGGTCCTGAGACGGCTCGAAACGCGGCGGGAGAAGAAATACGGGGGATTGGGCATGATCCAATTTCCACTGCTGCTGCTGCTGCTGCTGGTGATGATGATGGTGATGGTGGTGCTGCTGTTGGCTCTGCTGTAGCTGTTGTCGTTGAATCTGCTGTCGTATTCCGGCCAATTGTAAATGTGGCTGCTGCACCTGCTGTTGCTGTTGCTGTTGCTGTTGCGGCGGAAAATATTGCTGCGGGTAACCCGCCTCGCCGCCCCCCTGCGGCTTCCCACCATCAGCGGTCAACCCCTGCTGTGCGCCGCGCATGAGCTTAAGGTAGCGCGGCGATCCTGGCTCCATCGAATCTTGCCGCCGTTGATATGTGCATACGCGGCTCGCGTTGCTCCTCCTCTGCTGCTGCTTGCGCGTCGTTTGAGAAGTCGAATCGCGCCACGTGCCGACCAAAAAGAATCCTGCTCTCTTACTTCATCTAGTAGCGCCGCTGCTGCGTCGTTAACGCCGCTCTACCGCGCGCGCTCCTCGTCTCCGCCACCGCGCATCCCGCAAGCGGTGGCTTTGGCGCATGCAGCGCCCAATCAGGGCGAGCGGATGGACTGCGCGCGAACATGGCGAGAGAGACAGGTGATGGCGGAAGCGGGAAAAGCGTGGAAAGGTAGTGGGCCCGACACGCTCTTACTGACTATGCATGGAGAGAGCTAGTGTGGAAAATTAGTGGGTATGAATTGCTGTATGCAGCGGGTATGTAGAGTAGAGGTAAGGATTAGGTTTGGTGGCAGGGCCCACTTGGTCCAAACCAAAGAAAGAGGTCTGGTTGCAGCCATGATGCGATTCGCGATACGAGCTCAGCCAGATACGGTGAATCTTGAATCACAAGGCAGTGGTGGTGAGAATTGGAGATTCAATTTTGCAAACAACCATGTGAAGGCCCCGAAGATTTGGCGGGAAAGTCTGCAGCCGAAGTGCCGCACTACTGCTACTCGTTTCGAGTGAATTTGTAACGAGCTTGCGCATTGCTAACGGTATAGTAAAATACAAAACATGTAAGGGACCTCAAAAATCAACAAGCCACCTCACCGCACCAAAAGGTATACTAGTGAGGGAAGCTCAAACCACAGATCAACACAGGAAAAACGGCCTACCACAATATGTGATAGTCTGGCATTCACACCTTCCAAATCTTGGCAGCAAAAAAACACCAAATGACTCCGTGCTTGCGTGATGAGGCACACACGCACAAGCCCGCATCCACCGAGTTACATGCAAGCACAGGTGGGAATCGCAGATGCATACTGCAGGGTGAGGACGCAGAACCAATGCACCACCTCCCCCATGTCCGTGCGGCACTTTTGAGAATTCTTATAAGTGACCTCCACCAGGCTACATGCAGGCACAGGCGGGAATGGCAGGCGAGCACTGCAAGGTGAGGACGCGGAGCCGCTCCACCACCTCGGCCATATCCGGGCGGCGGGCAGGCGTGTGGTGCCAGCAGCGCTGCATGAGGTCAGCGAGGGCGGGCGGGCACGACGAGGGGATGTCTGGACGCAGACCCTGGGATGTGCAGGGGAGGATGTGAGGGTGGCATGGTGTGAGGGTTGACTTGTAACGAAGGCCAGTTAAAATAAGTTTTCTTTCAAACAGTATTCGTCCCCTCAAGCTATTTCCTGTCCCCACCACCCACTCCCATTCCGCTCCTCTCCTCTCCTTTCAACCAATTTACCCTCCCTCTCTTGATTTTCTCCCCCTCACCTGGTTGACCATGCAGCAGACTTGCTCTGGCTTGAGTCCCTCAAAGAGAAACGGGTTGCCACAGGTAACGATCTCCCACAGCACGATGCCGTAGCTGTACACGTCCGCCATGTGATCGTACGGCTGCTCCTTGAGCACCTGCCGTGAGGGAGATGGAGTGATGCAAATACATGGTGACTGAATTCTGAACGGGTTACCACAAGGATGCCATAGCTGTACACGTCCGCCATGCAGTCGTACGGCTGCTCCTTGAGCACCTGCAGCAGAGGTGGTGTGGAGAGATGGGGGTTGAGAATGCGGTACCACACATAACCAGCGCACAATGCCTGTACACGTCCTTCTTGTGGTCGTGCAGCTGCTCCTTGAGCACCTGGGGTGAGGGAGATGGGGTGGTGTGGAGAGATGGGGTTTGAAGCCTTGGCAGGAGAAATGGATACCGCACATGAACATCTCACGATGCCGTAGAAACATCTGCCATGTGGTCATAATTACTTGCCTCAGATGACCATACCCTCGTTACCTGCCTTGGCCACCATGCACCTTCCAACAAAGCCATAACTCAGGCACCATGCACCTTGCATGCATAGCACCCATCATACCTCGGGTGCCATGTAGCCGAAGGTGCCGGTGCGTCGCTTCATGGAGCGGTCCCCCGGCTCCACCCTCGACACGCCGAAGTCGGCAATCTTCACCACCCTGCGCACCGATGGTGACGTGGCATGGTGATGGTGACGTGGCATGGTGATGGTGACGTGGCATGGTGATGGTGACGCACAGAGACAGTGCGGATGCAAATATAATTGAGGTCACATAAGGGGTTGGTCGGTACGTGGCAGTTACGGAAGGTGGGGCGGGCGGAAGGTTTGCAATCTTCACAACCCTGCGCACGGATGGTGACGTGGCATGGCATGGCGACGGTGACGCAACCGGCGCAGTGCAGAACGAAAGTTAGATAAGGTCACATAAAGGGTGGGTGAGTGGCAATTACGGAGAAGGGGCAGGCGAACGAGAGGCGCGTGTAATTTTGAGTCAACTCAAAAACAGGCGGGCGAGGGACGGGTGAACATGAGGCAGGTGAGCGAGAGGAGGGTGGGAGGAGGAGGGGCGCGCGGGAGCAGAGGAAATGCGCGCGCACCTGTGTGCCTGGTCGAGCAGCAGGTTGTCGGTCTTGAGGTCGCGGTGCACTATGCTGCGCGCGTGCAGGTAGCGCAGGCTGTATGGGGGCAGGAGGGAGGGCGCGGGGGCAGGGAAGGGGAGCGGCGAGGAAGGAGGGGGCGACGGAGAGAGGGAGAGAGAGGGTGAAGGAGCGAACGATGCATATATGAACAGAAGAGAGATGGCGACGATAAGGGGAAAAACTGCACCAATGCTTGAGAAACGCGCGGTGCATTCTCTCAGTCACCCCCCGCGACGGTCTGCCCGTGCGCTCTCATGCCCCCCAACACCCCTACCACGCTCGCTCGCTTCACAGTCTCTGCATTCTCTCTCTCGTCCCATACCGCGCCGCGCCTGCGCCTATCCACGCTCCACGTGCGATGCGAACGAGCGTACGTACGTACCCTTCCGCGACTTGCAACGCCAGATGCAACGCGCGTTTCAACGGCAGCCGCTTCTTCTTCTTGCTCTGCTTCGCTAAGAGCTGCTTCAGCGTTCCGCCCGGCAGAAACTCCAACACCAAACAGCAAAAGTTGCTGCCCACGCGCAACTGCCCCTGGTGATCCTCCGCCGTCGATGTCAGATCGTACGACTCCTGTCCGCCGATGATCGCGCCCACGAACTCACAGATGTTCTTATGTCGAAGCTTGCTCCAAACGAGCACCTCTTGCGCAAAAACATCCCGCAGAAACGCCAAATCTGCGGAGTTTCTTTCCGCCATCGCCTCGGACTTCCCCCCAACAGCCTTCCCCGCGCCATTTTTTTCCCCGCGCACGGCCTCCCCCGCATTTTTACCAACCCCCGCGAGCGCAACCGCAACCGCCCCCGCTTCCGCCTCCGCAGCTGCACCCACCGCGCCACCAGCGTTTCCGCCATTCCGCGCGCCGACGATTCTTCCCGCCGCCGCAACCGCCGCCGCGGCCCGCGCGCCCCCGTGCACGCTTTCTCCCTCCCAGTTGAGAAGCTTCACGGCAACGTCGCGGCCCTTGTACTGCCCGCGATGCACGGTGCCGAACGAGCCGCGCGCGACGAAGTTGCGAATCACCAGTTGCGACGCGTCCATCTGCCACCGCGCCGGGCGAACGCGCGCGCCGCCGCCGCCGCAGCCGACACTGCAGCCGCCGCGCGGAGTGGAAGGCTCGCGATGCGGGGAGGAGTCGTCGCGCGGCGCGGGGAGGTTGCTCTGAGTGACGGCGTCTCGTAGGGGAGCGGCCGCGTCGGTTCGCGGCATGGAGGCATGTCGCGGCGCTGCATCCGCGCTGCGCGGAGAGTTCCGCGAAGTTTCGGGAACGGCATCGAGGCGCGCGGACCCCGACCATGCGGACCACCATCGCGCGGAACCCCCGGCAGCGGGCCGCGCGAGTAAATCGGCGCCGCCTGCCGCCTCGCAGCGCGCGCCGCCGTCACCGTCGTCGTCACCGTCGCCGTCTTGCTCGTCCGTCACCTCCTCCCCTTCCGTCTGTATCCGTTCCAGAATTTCCGCCGCGCCGCAGTTGCTCGTTAGACGCCGAATTGAGTTCACCGCGCCAATAGCGTGGTGCTCTGACGATTGCATCCCCTCGAGCCGCTCGGCCGCTTTCTCCTCCAGCGCGCGTCGCACGCTCTCCCATCCCGTCTCGCCGGGATTTCCTATGCACGACATCGAGTCTGCTTCTAACGGGGCAAAACAGTCTGGCTGTTGTTCGCGTAACGGTGCTAAAAGGGCTGGAGTCGTGTTTAACGAAAGGCGCTCCGTGGCTGGTTCAGAAGCCTCCGCTGACGGACTGGCTTCGCTCATTACGTGACAATCGCGACTGTTGTTTTCGCAAGGCGACGTTTCGGCAAGTAAGCAATGCGCCGAAGGCGCTGGTTGAACTATTCCGCTAAGATCGCCACGTGGCGACGGGGAGGCACAATGCTCGCTGCCTGCGGGATTCTCATTGCCACGTGGTTCAGCCAAGTCACCTGAATCAACTCGCGCTTCGCGGTGGAGGTCTTGAGCCGCTCCTTCGTGTATACAGCTAGAAGCCCCGTCGAGTTGAAACGCGTTATTGTAAGTCCCGCCAGGAGACGCATCGCTGCTGACGCTAGTCGCATCGCTAGTCGCCTCGAAGGTATCTTGGGACGCAGTACTCGAAACATGCGACGTACGCGAGTCGTCACCGGATGACGTCGCATTTAACACCCGCTCGTTGGACTCGTCAGCTGTAAGTAGGGTACTTAGGCTTAAATTAACGGAGCTGTCACTGTGCTTGATGCTGCCATTGCCGTCGATTGCGGGGACTGCACTGTGCTGCATCGTAACGAGGCGGCATGGAGATGCAAGAACAGCTGCCTCACGTACGCCATGGCAGCGAGAACTATCAAAAGCGACGGCTGCAGCCATGGCAGTCCTACACCACTACTGGACTTCGTTGGTGTAGTCCTGCTACCTGTGCTCGTGTAGTGTCAGGTTTGAAGGAACCAACGCGGAGATGCGAGACTTGGTACGAGAGGAGCGTTGGGGAAGCCGCACGCGAAAACAAAGGATGGTTGTGCGGAAAGAGTGTTGAAGAGGTTTCAGTCAGTGTTTTATGCACTACTAGCTCGGCGGAACGATGATAACGGGAAACCTCCGTTTTCGAAGGAACGAACATGTGGTCTGGTTGGGCGGAATCTGTCCCTCATTATGTAGGCGCGGGGAGCGGTTTAATAGTAGTGTGTGAGATGTACTGTGGACATCTGTGGGTGCTCATCCGAGCTTATGAACAATCTTGCCAGCAAGACATTTTGTGGTTTCTTTTTGTTTATGAAAACTGCCTCCCTTGGTTCCGGAAAGTCATCTCTATCTACAGTGTCGTACGGTGCGACACACGAAAATGGGATGGAATGGGATTGGACGGTCGAATGAAATCTTGCCTATTGGAGTTCACATTCCTCCACGATTTGACCAAATTCGACGAATCCTCTTGTTGCGGCCGCCAGATTTCCATGTGGCCTTTGTTGCAGGGAAGGGGGAGAGGAGGAGGGAGGAGGGGGGTGTACACATGTCCTTTCCAACAGCAAAAGCACAAACGTTCCGCCGCCGTTGAATCGCCTTCCGCTGTCTGGGTCTTTCGGCTGGTGACTCACTTGTCATTCGGAACTATTGTCCAGACAACGAAAACGCTCCTTTTGTTGTTTCTAACACTTCGTCCATGAGGTGGGCGAGGTGGGCTCAGCCATGAGTCAACAGAGACAGAGCAGCTGATGACAGAAATGTTGGTGCCGCCAAGTATTCTCTAAATCGGTGTGAAAAAATTCGTGTCGAAAAACCGCGGATACCATCAGTGCCAACCCTTGAATACATATGGGCTACCCCTAAAATTGCGGTGTACTTCACGTCGATGATAAGCAACCACCCTCTCCAAGACCTCCCCCCAATCTCCCTCCACCAGCCACGACTGAGGATAACGCAACCAATCACACTCCACCTTGACTGCCAGATGTGGTTTGTTGTGGACCTTCCGCTTCTGCTTCGTTGGCTTGGTCGGGATCTGGACGCGGAACGAACCAGCGGCGTGGAGCGCCGCATGAATTGCTTCGACGAAACAGTGGTCGCATTGATTGCCACGTCCTCGATTTTCAACAAAGGGTCTTCGTCAACAGATGAAGGAACAAGCGATGAAGTGTATGCAGTTCGGGACAAACAAATAACATTTCGGACATTGGAGAAGCATTATTTTCCTCCACTCACTAGTTCACCTGATTTAATTACAGCAGTTTAACAATGTGGTAAGCATAGGAACAGCTGAGTAACAGAGTCTGTTACGGATTCTAATTCAACCCTTCAATTCAGTACCAACGTTTCTTGCATCAACACTGTTGGATGGAGCCATCACCTGCCTCTCTAATCACAACCTAGAGAACCTTACTGGAAAGAACAAAGCCATCAAGCCAGCGGTTTTCCAATAGTAAAAATAAAAATGAAACTATCGTACCTTTTCATCCTCTATAAGCACGCGTTTGAGCACCTCATAACACATGAAGGAGATGCCAGCAGCAGGCATCATCTTGGCACACGACGGCACCACCCCTCGGTACAGCCCCTTGACTCCCTGCTCCCTCACTATGCTCCTCATGCACTGCAGCATGCCTGTGTATGCCACCCTGCCGCCCGTCGCCCCCATTTGAAGCTGCAACAGAGGGAAGAGGGAGAGAATGGACAATGTGTATAGTTTGGAGAGGAGGGAGAGAGAGACTAGCAGCATCACCGAAGGGCACACAAAGGCGCCACCCCTCGGTACAGCCCCTTGACACCCTGCTCCCTCACTATGCTCCTCATGCACTGCAGCATGCCTGTGTATGCCACCCTGCCTCCTGTTGCCCCCATTTGAAGCTGCAATAGTGGGAGAAGGGAGATGATGGTCAGGCGGAGGGGAGAAGAACACTAAATATTTGGACGAGGGAGAGAGGGACTAGTAGCATCAACAGTGGACACAGGAGGGCACCACCCCCCCCACGGTACAGCCCCTTGACGCCTTGCTCCCTCACAATGCTCCTCATGCACTGCAACATTCCTGTGTATGCCACCCTGCCACATGTTGCACTCTTCTGCAGCAGCAGAGGGCAAGGGGGTATGAATGGGAGGGAAGTTGGGATGGGGGAAGGGAGGAGATGAGTTGAGATTGGTGGGGGGAACGCAGAGAGGGTGGCACGTGCAGTTCTAGGAGGGAGGGAACGGGCTGGCATGGAAGGAAGTAGGAAGGAAGTAGGAAGGAAGTAGGAAGGAAGTAGGAAGGAAGTAGGAAGGAAGTAGGAAGGAAGTAGGAAGGAAGTAAGAAGGAAGTAGGAAGGAAGTAGGAAGGAAGTAAGAAGGAAGTAAGAAGGAAGTAGGAAGGAAGTAGGAAGGAAGTAAGAATGAAGTAGGAAGGAAGTAAGAAGGAAGTAAGAAGGAAGTAGGAAGGAAGTAGGAAGGAAGTAGGAAGGAAGTAGGAAGGAAGCAGGAAGGAAGTAGGAAGGAACCGGGTTTAGCATGGGAGAGAGGGGCAGGGGAGATGAGGAGCCATGAGCCAGCTTTACGCCTATGGAGATTGGCACCTCCCATCCACATTGCATTGCCATGGATCATGGACGCATGTGCAGAGTGCCCCTCGGGGGGACAGAGAGGGTAAGAGCAAGAAGGGTTTGCGCACCCGCATGCTCGGGTTGTTTGATTTGAGGGTGGGAGAAAAGCGGATCGAGTGGGATGTGGAATGCCTGAGCCACATCAAGTCCCCGTGCTTACATGTTTCCGTGCGACCTCCAAGGGGAATGTCGAAGCAGCCGCAAAGCACCCAGCAGTGGAGCCAATGACCAGCGTCATCAGCGGCTCGATCTCCTCCCGCCCTCGCGCCTTCCTATATGCGGTACACAGCGTGTCATACGCGTAGAAATTCGCGCCAGCATAAGGAATCATGCCGACCACGCTGGGCGCCACCCCGCGGTACAGCTCCCCCACGCCCTGCTCCATGATGATGCGGTGGAACGCGTGCAGCACGCCGCGGTACATGTCAGGGTTGACTGTCAGGCGCGTTTTGACGAGCTCCAGCGGGTAGGTGAGCAGGCACGACGCGATGCCCGCGGAGGAGCCGGCAATGGAGGAGATGGGGATGGGGAGCTGGCGCGGGATGATGGAGGGGCGGCCTTCTTTGGGAGTGAGGAAGCGTTTGACCGTGTCGTATGTGAGCATCTGTGGGGTGGGAAGCAGGGAAAAGGGGGGAGGGGGGAGATGGAGGGAGGCATGAGAAGGGGCATGAGAAAGCATGGAGAGAAGGAGCAACCCGAGCGGATAGGTGAGGGGGCAGGAGGCGGACGAGCCGGCGATGGAGGCGTGGAGGGGCAGGGCAGCTGGCGCGGAATGATGGAGGGGCAGGGCAGCTGGCGCGGAATGATGGAGGGGCAGCCTTCTTTGGGGATCAAGAAGCGCTTGCCTGTGTCGTACGTGAGCATCTGTGGGGTGGCCGGGGGGGAGAGAGGGGAGCGGAAGATGGGGGGAGGGGAGGGGGGGGGGGGAAGGGGGGGATGTGAGTGGAAGAACAGGTCGAAGCGTGAGAGAGGGGAGGCGAGAGGGGTACGGGGTACAGGGGGTAGGTTGTGAAGGGGGTAGGTTGTGAAGGGGGAAGCCAAGGGAGGTTGGGAGTGACATGGGGCATGGGGGCGTGCCGCAGAAAACGAGCTGCCCTCTCAGGCGAAAGGGGGCGCCATGGCCTTGCTCCCCGCCACGCGCATTCCCTTCCCAATCCCCCACCTTCCCCCTTATTTTCCCCCTCATTCCCCTCAATCCCCCTCCCACCCCCCCCCCCCCATTTTCCCCTCATTCCTCCTCCCTAATTCCCCCCTTTCCCACCCCCCCCCCCTCCACTCCCGCCCTCGCCGCACCTCAATCGCTTTGCTGGGCGCGACGCGGAGCACGTTGATGGCGTTGCCGCGGAACAGCCCCGTCCACCCCTCCGTGCGCAGAACCCACTGGAAGACAGCTGTCATGCTCCCATTGGCCGCCAGCCCGCCCCGCCCGCACATCATGTGCGTCCGAATCGTCTCCAGCGGCGCCGTCGCTGGCGGAGGGAGAGAGCGGAGAAAGGAGGGGAGGGGAGGGGGAGGTGGGGGTGGGGGCTTGGGGGTGGGTTGGATGCGCGCGGGTTGGGCGAAGGGGAAGGGGGAGGACGGGAGTGGGGGACGTGAAACAGGCGGAATGGGGACGGAAGGGGGATTCGCAGAATAGCAGGATTTGCGGAAGCGGAGACGGGCACGGGGAATGCGGAGCGCGAAAGCAATCGCGCAATCCAGTCGCGACGGGCCACGACGAAACTGATGCGAGCACCCCAACACGCGCTAGCTCCCGCATGCGCCAATCCCCCCCATGCGCGTTCCCCCCGAACCCCTGCCCTCAGCACGCACCTGTTCGCGACACGCCACCGGCGACGGCACCGCTGACCAGCCGACTAACCGCCGGACTCAGCCGCACTTTGCGCTCCGCCCTCCGCTCCGCCTTCACCTCACTCTTCCCCAATCCGACCGCCACCCCCGCTTTCGCCAGTTCCGCCGTCACGCGTCCCACGAGCGCGCCCAGCGCAAGCTTCAACTCCGCCACCTCCCGCCACTCGCCCGCGCTCGTCACGTCCGTCGCAGCATATCGCGCCCCCGTCGCACTCGTCGCATGTCGCGAGCGGGACGGCAGCTCGTGCAAGTGAAAGTCGATGTCGAACTCCACATCGTCGCCGCGCAGCACGCCGGGCGACCCCGATGGCGTCGCTGTCGTCGAAGCTGTCGCAGTCGCAGTCGCAGCCGCGGTCGCAGACGCGAACGCACGAGAATGCACTGCGACGGCGGAGCCAGCGCTATGACGGTGGAAAACTTTCGCTTCAGTTTGCCATGGCAGTTGAGCCTGTTGCTGCGGCTGCTGCTGATCGTGTTGCGACAACGACCGTTTCGCGAAATCCACTCGCGACGTCGCAGTTTCGCCGAGGTCGCCCGCGCGAAACAGTCTCTCCTTGCGGCGTCTGGCCGGAAGCGGCTCGGCGTGAGTGGGGGTGGGCAGGTGCAGGCCTAGCAGACCGCTGGTGTGAGTCGTCGCCGCGTACAACGGAAGACGAATTTCTGTATTATTAGTGGCTGTGGAGGGGGTTGGGAGAGAGCTTGACGCTGACGCGTCTAGGGATGGGGAGGCTGACGTGGACCAATGGCGATCGGTTGACACGGCCGTGTCTGCGGCGGGTCTGAGGTTGGCCATTGGCGAGAAAATTCAACTCTACTGTCCTTGGAAAGTGATGAAAAACCTCACAACGACTTTGGCAGTAAATGATAACTAACTAAACGAACTGTAACGCGAAAGGATGACGATCAGATGGCGTCAGATGCCGGCCGCTGTGGTCGGGGTACAGAAACCCACAACCCCGCGCGTGAGGTGCGGCTGCGGCCCGATCTGATCGTTGTGCCTCTCTTTTGAGAGGAGAGGAAAAGAGCTTGAAATGGCGGGAGGCAGGCATATGAACGGGAGGAATGGGGAGTGGGGGGCGATGGACGAGACTCGGGGGGTTGGGTTGGGAGGTTTGGAGAACGTTGCGGAGGGGAAGTGAGGCCAAAAGGAGTCAGCTGCGTGGCTGATGAAGGGGTTGGGTTGGTTTGGGGGTATGAGGGAGGGGAGAGGATGCGTGGCCACCACGAGGTTGTGTGTGCGAGTCGGTTTGGAACAATTAGCAGAAGTTGGTATACAAGCTAAGTGACAGAAGCGCAAGGTCAGTTGGGAAGCCTCTCTGGGGCTGGAATGTGTTTTGGATCTGGAACACAAGCGGCAAGGGTCAACTCGCAAACCTAGCTCTCTGCATTCAGGGCGTATCTTCAGTTCGGATCATGCACTGTTTGGGTCATCCGAGATTCTTGGAAGACCAATCAGGCGCATTTTAGTGGAAATACTCGAATACCATTGCTCCTCCCATGACCCAAAGTGTACTGATAACCCAAAGTGGCCTTATGACCCGAACCAAAGATACGCCCTCACTCGATGTGGGAGTGCATCCTTCTTTGGGCAAGGTGGGCTTATCGAAATTCAAAGCCTGCCACGTCATCCTTCCACTAGGCCTTTTGAGCCAAAAGTGCACCAGCGATCGGCTCAACTCGCTGGTCTGGGCTGGGACGTGTCAGGGGCGCCGCCACTAGAGCACACAAATATCCCACCTGACGCCATTCATCCTTTGTCCACCGGCATGCGAAGCGCATCTCCGTTACTGAGAAAGCTGGCACCGCGAAGCCACTGATCTCGTCAAATGTTTCTGGCATGTTTTTGAATTACCGTAATAGAATCGCTGATATTACTTGAACTTCCACAACACTAGTTCCTTGCCTCCGATAAGGGTGTCCCAAATCTCGCTGCATACAGTCATGACCATCATGTGAAATCGCACCACATTATTTAACTTTTTAAAAGAGCTACTTCTTGCAATTTACATTCTGGCACCCCCTAAAAGCCCAACATCCGAAGCTCTATGTGCTCGAGATTAATATACATGCAGCCCACCAAAACCTTCCATGGAACTCTTATAAAGTCTGCCCTTTGTGGAAGTTGGCAAGGCAACCCTATGCATGCAGTTCATTACCTAACGAATACATAGAGAAAATGCATGAAGGAATCTAGCAAGGGCAAGTGTGTGAATCGAGGTCTACACAAGAATGGAGCGAGTGCGAGAGGGGGATGGCTGAACATGTAACTGGGCCATAGGGTGTGGGAGCGAGGGCGCTTTACCAGGAGGGCCCGAGTCTATGAGGTGGAGCACCTGTGGTGAGCAGAGCAGTTGGGGGTGATGGGATGGCATGGCATGGCATGGGAGCTTGGGAGGCTGTGTGAGAAAGTCGGAGCCATGGATGTGCACTGTGTGGGGGAAGAGATGCAGAGGAGCGATGGAGAAGAGGCAGGATGGGAGGGAGAGGCGGAACGGAGGAGAGGCAGGACCCAAGCACTGCAGCAGGCAAATTGGGTGTTCAGTCGGATTCTTCCAAGTGAATGCTGCGAGCATATGGAGAATAAGAGAGAGAGAGAGAAAGCTGTACCTGCAGCATGGAGGGTCGCTGCGAGGGGTCCTTGTGAGTGCAGAGCAGGGCGGTGCGGGCGAGCAGGGCGAACTGGTGCGGGTGGTAACCTCCCTGCAGGGCGGGATCCGCCACCTCGTGCAGCCTGCCCTCCTCTATCAGCGGCCGAGCCTGCAGGGAGGGCGGGGAGGGGCGGAGCAATGGTGGGAACAGAAGAGTGAGCAGGGCGAACTGGTGCGGGTGGTATCCTCCCTGCAGGGCTGGATCCGCTACTTCATGCAACCTGCCCGCTTCTATCCGCGGCCGTGCCTGCAGGGAGGTTGGAGGTGGGATATGAGGACGAAGGGTGAAGGGATGACGGGATGCAGGAATGGAGGAAAGGCGTGGCTGCAAGTGCAAGGGTGGCGGAGTGAGAACGAGCGGCTGAAGAGAAGGCGAGCAGCGGACTTTGGGGAAGACGTGGGGGGGTTGTTTGGGCTTGAATGAAGAAGGCTGGATGGATGAACAGGGATGAGGGTCATGGGCAGGACGAGGGTCTGTGCTGTCATGGGTCATGGGCTGCCCTAGTGCTGTTGCTGGCAGCAGCTTCATTCAACTCACATGCATCTGTCCACCCAATAACAATCATACACCACCCAATACTATTCCCTCCCTGGCCCCATCCCATGCACCATGCCATGCCACGCACCATGCCATGCCACGCACCATGCCATGCCATGCCATGGACTTACCAAATCACACTTTAGCACGTCTTTCCAGACGCACACCATCCAGTACAATGCCTTCTCATACCACCCCATCCCACCCCGCCCCACCGCACTACCGGACCGCACCCCACCCACACTCACCCATTGCACGAGGCACTGCATCCCGCGGGGCCGGCTATCATCCACAGGAGGCTGGCCTGAGAGCAGCTCGAGCAGCACCACCCCAAATGCAAACACGTCTGTGTGCGTGCTCACTGCCCCGTGGGACAGGTACTCGGGCGCCAGGTAGCTGGGGGGGACACAGGAGGGCAGCCAAGGGCACGAAGACAGGGTGAATGAAGGGGTGGATAAAAGGGTGGATGAGGGGGAGGATGAAGGGGTGGATGAGGGGGAGGATGAAGGGGTGGGCGCAAACACGACCGTGGCAGTGATCACTGCCCTTTTGGCCAGGTACTCTGGCGCTAGGTATGTGGGGATGGGAAGAGTGGGGGGGTGGGGGTCTGCACAGACCTCACCCACTCAAGTTTATTGTATTTCACTCACCCGAACGTGCCAGCAAGCGGCACTTGCATGGGCGCATCGTTGTTAGCAGCGAAGAGAGCCAACCCAAACTCCGATAGCTGGTGAGGCACGAGGGGCGAGGGGAAACGGGATAGGGATGGGGAGAGGATGGTGAGGAAGAGGAGAAGTGAGGTGCGCTTTGAAA